TTAGGGACGGAGGACTCTGGGCATGTGGCCCAGTGGCTGAGCATCAACCTATGAACCAGGAGGCCATGGTTCAACTCCCATTCAGGGCACATGCCCGGGTTGTGGGCTCCATCCCCAGTAGATGTTGTATAGGAGGCAGCCAATCAATGATCCTCTTTCATTGATGTTTCTATTGCTCTCTCTCTCCCTCTCCCTTCCTCTCTGAAACCAATAAAGAAAATTTTTATTTAAAAAAAAAAGAAAAGTGATCTGATAAGTTAATTCACTTCAAGATCCTAAGAACTGATCACTTTAGCCTTCTGTCTCCTCAGCAGAGACTATGCAGAGAGGACAATTCTTAACAAATGAATCTCTACTGAGTGAATTTTCTGAATTCTGGGAGAACTTTTTACTACCTTAGCACAGAGCCCTAAAGCAACGGGGCCAACAGCGTACATTGCAAGGCTGATTACTGGAGGGCTCGGATCTGCCGCCAGCCCACAACTCTTCAAGGTGGCATTGTGAGTTTGTTCCACCCCTTCTTCTACATTGAACATATCACCCTAGCCGGTTTGACTCAGTGGATAGAGCATCGGCCTGTAGAGCCCGGGTTGCTGCGAGCTTGATGGCATGCAAGACACAGACAATCAATGATTCTCTCTCATCATTTATTTCTCTCTCTCTCTCTCTCTCTCTCTCTACCTCTCCCTTCCTCTCTGAAATCAATAAAAATGTATTTTTAAAATAACAATAAAAATAAATGGAGCATATCAACAATAAAAAGCATACCACCTGCTCGCTCACCCCCACAATTAAGAAAGCTTCTTGCAGCTTGACCTTAGATGAGCATCAAAGTGAAATATTTATGTTCGGAGCTTTGCTCTCCCACCCAGCTGGAAAGAGTTCCATTTCATGCCCCACAACTACCGCCCCGGGCAGAGGCCAACCTCTACCACTGCCGCCTCTCTGCCTCTATAGCCACAACTGCCATGATCTTTCCAAGCAATACATGAACTTTTCATTCAAAACCCCGTTCTGGGTGACTGGCTCACTGGGAAACATTCAGAGGTTGCCAATGACTCACCCAATAAATTTGAGGCCCAGCAATTGACTTGAAGTCAGTGGCGCCTGATAGCTGCTCGGTGGCTGGAGGTGAAAAGAAGCCAAACTCAACGCTGGTTTATAACAGCTAAGTGCTCTTGGTCCATCTCATATGAGCCGTTGGATTGAAAAGCAGTCAATTAGCAGTATTCCTGGCTGCAGCCTGGCTCCAACAGGTCGAAATGAAGGTCAACTGTGAGCAGAGGGAAGGACATTTCACCATCTGAATATAAAAGAGCCCAGCCGGCCCTAGCCAGTTTAGCCCAGTGGATAGAGCATCAGCCTGTGGACTGAAGGGTTCGGCTTCAATTCTGGTCAACGGCATGCACCTAGGTTACAGGAGTGGGGCCCGTGTGGGAGGCAACCAATTGATGTGTCTCTCTCACCTTGATGTTTCTCTCTCTGTCTCCCCCCTCCCTTCCTCTCTCTCTAAAAAAAAAAGCCCAGCGAATCATGTACACATCTTTACCTAGCATATTCTAACATGCTGGAAGACATTAAGACTCACTACAAGACTTCTGCCTTAAAGAAAAGAAAAAAGAAAGGAAAAAAAAGACTTCTGCCTTCAAAATTGTAATAATCTTGTAACATAGAAAATTACACAGAACAACGGGAGACAGTACAACTGAGTAGCCATGTTCCTGGCTGGCATTCATCTGTCTGGAATAACTTTTCCCACCATTTTTGATAGGCCTAAATCCTCCATGTGCTCAAACGCCAGCACCCACAAAGAATCCTTCTCTGGCGACTTACCTTGGTGCCCTTTTCCGCCTGACCCTTCCGAGGACTGACAGGGGCCTCCTGCCCTCTTGCTCTGGGACAGGAGTCAGCTCTACCCTCACCTGGTCCCTCCTGTATGAGATGAAGATGAGACGAGTCAAGGCGGCCTCTGAGGGCGTCTCCAATGGGGTGCGGGCTGAGTAAAGTCCTCTCCCCAGCTCCTTGCTTCTTGAATGCACTGTTATTTTGAGCAGGTGCCCTGTGTGCATCCCCAGGAGAGCAAGGACCTAACAAAATCATCCAGGATCAAAGGCAAGAAGCTTTGCCTGGTGCCGCCAGACCCAGACGACATTGCAAGCCATTAATCCCCACTCCAGAAGGTCAGGATCAGACTGCCCCGTCTGGGCCGCTCAGCCTCGTTTCTATTACTGGGAACAATGTCGAAATCGTGCAGCTCAGAGGTCTGGTAACTGCCACAGACTGTTCCTGGGCTCATTCTTCTCTCCCCGGGTTCCAAGCCTTCTGAGCAAGCAAATGAGGGCTTCCAGCCATACGTGACTGAGTTACCTAGCCAAACCGACCAGAAAAGGGTGGAAGCAAACAAAATCAAAGCTAAAATGTGAATTTAGCTAAAGGAATTGTACATCAGGGATGCACAATTCTTTCCGCCTAAGAAAGCCGAAGGTAGATGTTAAGAAAATTAACTTAGGCGTTTTTCATGCATCATGGGCTCTGTGTTAGCTAAAAGAGGGGTGGCATTGCCCAGCCGGTGTGGCTCAGTGGTCGAGAATCTCTCTCCCTCGCCCTTCCTCTCTGAAATCTATAAAAATATGTTTTTTTAAAAGGAGGATGGCATTGTCTTTAGAGATAGTAAATGCTGAGAGAAGTCAGAACAGCCTGGCGTGGATGAATGACAAAGACGGTGAATCTGGCTGCCTCCGTGTTCAGCCACCTTGCCTTTGAGCACCATGCTGAAACGCAACCCAAGGATAACCATTTCATGTAAAAAAAAAACAAAACAAAAAACGATTACTAAGCATAACCACTGCACCAGTTAAGACCCTTGGTGCAAGCAACCAAAACTACCTCTCTTAAGCAAAATGGGAATCTGTTGGAAGGATACAGGATGACTTGCAGGATGGAATATAGAGTTGAACCACTGCTCCTAGGGAGGGAAAACCAGACCGGCTCTAGGAGTCTGGGAAGCCGGGGCCCCTCTGCTGAGATGAATATGGCACCAAGATTTCCCCACATAGATCACTCCTACTCGGAATTAAGCAGACCAAATCCCCTGAGAGGCAAACACCAGCTGTCAACCAAAGGGCCTCCCGGAGGCCCTGCCCTTCAGTGCCCATCCACGGTACCTCTAAGAACTAAGGAAGAGTGAGAGGATGTGGTTGGGGCCTGCTAGTGCCCAGTGCACCTGGGAACCAGTGTAGCACGTGGGCTGGTGTTCCTGCTCCTCTCGGGAGCTTCCCATCACAAAGCAGCTATCACAGTTGTTGTCTGTCGCGGCTTTCAATTCAACACGCCCATCCCCACTACCCCCCAACCCCACAGTCCTCAGTCCAACCATGACCATGGCCTTCTCCCGGTCAGCTCCACCATTATCACCTTGAGGGCTCAGTGTAGCCACAGAAAGGGAAGTCAGCCATAGGGTCAACAGGGGGAGGAAAGTACAGTAACAGCAGAAGAGGCTGCAATGGGCACCTGTGCCCACAGGACCAGGAACACCATCACTGTCCTTTCTGTTAAGAGTCCTGTATATGCACGTATGTATGGTTTATATAACTACTTACATACATACTTAGGTATATTCATATGTTATCTGTATAGAAATATTTAGTGCTGCCCCCTTCTTCCCCCTTCCTCCTTCTCCTCTCCCCCCCTTTCTTCTCCTCCTCCTTCTTCTCTATCTCTATCTTTCCATCTCACTAGCCTGCCTCTGCCTCTATTTCTTTATAGATCCCAAGTCATTTTATGACTTTTCCTCTACAGTTACATACACAAGCCTTTATATACACAAGCAATCTATCACCATGTCACCACTGTTAGCAACCCCATTCTTACTGTTTCTTTAGGTTGCCCATTGAAAATCTTTATGTAAAACCAATGTTTGTAAATTCTCACGTGTTCCCATTGACTTCCACTCCACCTCAGAGCTATGGTCCAACAGAGGGAAAAACCGCCATATGTAGTAAAAACCACAGTTGGAAACTACTGCATCCTTAAAAGAATATGCTCTCTTTGACTATGATTTATGAGGATACGAATCTCCCACTGGGCATCTGCAAGAAAAGTTGGTCAAGCAGGCAATCAATTAGAAAGAGTGCTTCATGTTAAAGTGTATTTATGTTTTATTAACCACCTTTTTTGATTGATTGGCTTTCGTTTTATTGGGTTTTCTCCGTGACCCAGTGTAAATTGACTACGTAATCATTCACACTCGTAACCATTTGACCAGCTAGTCAGTGCAAACCGCCTGGAAGCCCTCTGGGCAGCGCCTGCTGGGAAACTCTCACTTCTCCACGCCCTCCCCTTGCTCGTGGTCACTGCGCTGACTTGTTCTCCACTCCTCCACCCTTTAACTCCCTGAGTCAGGACTGGCCTTGACCTCCTTCTCAGCCGTAAGTCACATTTACTCCTTGAATTATATCCGCTTCTGCCCTCTTCCTGCCCCAGGTTTCTGCCCAGCACAGGCTCTGTCCCTGTTCGCTCTGAGGTTCATGCATTTATTCGTCAGATGCTCGGAACAGAGTACTCAAATGTTACTCCTTCTTTAAGACCACGTTGGCATGGTGCTAGTAGCTCGTAGCTGCTGATCTTTTTGGTTCTGGCCTTCCTAGACAGGGATGCCCAGTCTCTCTGTTTGTTTTTAGTTCAATATTGAAGGCACATTGGCGCGCCTATCATCTGTGAGGTGCGTTCCTGCCCCAGACTATCAGATGTGCGAGAGCAACACATCCCAGCAATCTGTCCCTGAAATAACCTCAAAACTCAGCTCAAATAGCACCTGCTGAGGCTTCACAACATCCAAAGTCTATATCGTAAGGGATGTGACCCTGTTCCCGACCAAGAAAAGCCAGAGCCTGGAAAACTGTATTAGCAGCACACTCACATCGAAAGTTTTACCAAACAATATTCATCTTTTAAAAAATATATATTTTATTGATATTTTACAGAGAGGAAGGGAGAGGGATAAAGAGTTAGAAACATCAATGAGAGGGAAACATCGACCAGCTGCCCCCTGCACACTCCCCACTGGGGATGTGCCCGCAACCAAGGTACATGCCCTTGACCAGAATCGAACCTGGGACTCTTCAGTCCCCAGGCCGATCCTCTATCCACTGAGCCACACCGGTTAGGGCACAATATTTATCTTTACACGAGGTGTGCCTTGATATGATCTGCTCTATTTCATTTGTAAAAACTGGTTGCCCCCATTAAATTGATTTCACTACTGGGTTGCATCCCATCATTTTTAAAAATACTGCTTCCATCCGTCCTGGCTGAGGAATTAAACTAGATAATGCCCCCATCTGACAGGTGGGAAATTGGGTGGGAAAACACTGAAGACCTGGGCCTGAGTCCCTGCTCTCTGACCGCCCTGCTGACCAGCACAGGACAAATCACTTAGGCTCACTGGGCCTCTCATTGCATCTTATTTCGAGGTGCTGTCTGCTCTATCCTACACACGGGTCTCTTAGAGGGATCTAATGAAATGAACACTGTAAGAACACTTTAAAAATATTCAAGTACCATTCAACTGTAAGAAGGTAGGGTGTCAGTCATGGAGAAGAAGTGAGAGAATGATCTGCTAGTTTCCACATGCTGTTTCCCTACTACTCAGCTGAGTTGCTTGTGGAAGGCTGCCAGGACCTAGCGTTTGAAACCAAGAAGAGGAAGGAAATGAGGAAGACTGATAAAGAGATAAGATAGAGCGCATCCTGGGATAAGCATCATTTTATTGGCCAGCAATTTACAACCAGGGCCAGCAACCTGGAGCCAGTGGCTCAGTGCTATACATCCCAACAGGCGTCAAAAAATTCATACAATACTATATATACATACATATATATATACACATATATATGTATATACACACACATATATATACTGTATGCATTCATACAATACTTTATATATAAATACATATGTACATACAGACTATATATATATGCTGACACACATATATAGTATTATATGCAATACATAACATACATATACTAGTAGCTTATATACTAGAATATACTATATAATATATAGTATATGGTTTAATATTATATATGTGCTAGTATATAGCGTATGCTAGTATATACTACTCATATATAGTATATAGTATATTATATATGCTAGTATATAATGTATGCTAGATATACTATTAATATGTAGTATATAGCATATTATATATATGCTAGTATATGTATATATTACAAACACTGTATATGCTAATATGTGGTATATAGTATAATAATAAATATATGCTAGCGTATAGTATATATGCATTACAAACACTATATATGTAATATACGTTCTAATCCTCAGAGGCTTTGTTGCCAAGTTTCCTCACAGTGCTACTGATGCTAAGCTGATAGAGCCCGCTCCCTCCCGATTCCGGAGCTCTCAAGAGTCTGTCACTTTGTCAGGGTGAGTGTGCCCAGCATACACAGGAGGGGACTTGGCACATGCTCCATAATATTTGATCTGACTCCTGCCATCAATCAAAGAACACTTCTAACTGGGCCAGGTGATTCAGAATCTATAAGCCATTATTAGCCACCGTTGACACAAGCCTGTGAGAAGCGATTCCTATCCCAACAAGACTTCTAGCTGAATTTCCCTTTACTCTGGAGATTTCACTCAAAAGCCTGCCAGGAGCCGGGTATATTCCATAAATGAGGGGAGAGGGGCACGCTCCTCACTGTGCACGCCACCCCATCTAAAAGGGCCAGATCCTCTAGTGTTCCTAAAGGAGTGAAAATCTGGATTTTTACGTGAAATTGCCTGAGTCCTCAATGGTTGCTCTATTTAAAAGAAAAAGACAAACAGATCTAAGAAAACTGCAAATTGTACCTGCGAACATCCATTTAATGGCCTCTACTTTTTTTCAAAAAAGCATAATTAGCCCTAGCTGGTTTAGCTCAGTGGATAGAGCATCGGCCTATGGACTGAAAGGTCCCAAGTTTGATTCCGGTCAAGGGCACACGCTGGATCCCCAGTGTGGGATGTGCAGGAGGCAGCCGATCAATGATTCTCTCTCATCATTGATGATTCTATCCCTCTCTCCCTCTCCCTTCCTCTCTGAAATCAATAAAATATATTTTTTAAAAGCATAATTAATATTCTTCTATTACAATATCTCATTCAAAGGTAAAAATGCACATGAAAAGCCAAATTCATCTGGCATTCTGCTCTAGACTTCCATGCTGTCTTTCCCAGGTCCTCTGAAGAACAGAGCCTGAGGCAAGAATTAAGGGTTTGCACTGTATTTGGGGGACACTGTCCCTGGCTGAGGAAAGAGAAGGGACTGGAGAAAGGAGGGAAGCAGTACGGAGTTCACAACAAGCCACGAAGAGACACACAGGTCAACAGCCAGGTGGATTCGCTCCACACGTGGGGACAAATGGCTGCGAGGAGACACTGGCCCTCGGAGAGCAGTCCATGGGAGAAGGACAGAGCGAGCTTAATCTGCCAACTCCGGGCGGAGAAAGGGTGAGAAAGCGAAGCGGCTGGAGAACAGGAAGGATCTGAGTGGGTGACCTATTGCTTTGGGCCATCAACGCCTCCTCACCTCACGCTAGTCCCGCCCTGGTCAGCTCGCCCCTCCTCCTGTTTCCCGTTAGTCGGTGTCCGCCCCACAGGGTGAACCTCACCTGACCGTGCAGTTGCCAGATCCCATAACCACAGGGGTGCTTCTGTGTGTTCAGGAAGAACTGGAAGCTCCAGGCATGTGGCCAGGCTGCGTGCCAGGGGGGGAGGAGGGCACAGCACTCTCTGAGCAGCGACTGGTTGGCCCAGTGGTGTCTGCAGTATGGTCCAGGATGTGGTTGGTGCCTTAAAAAAAAAAAAAGAGGCCATTGAGGAATCTAGGCTGGTACAGTCTGTGTGGCTGCAGGGACATGTCCAAAGAACAGCTATATGAAGGACTAGTTAGATGAAACATTACAAAAGAAAGGAGGTACACATTCCAGTTGTCAAAAATGAGGGAGGGACACGACTACAGAGCCTGCAGACAGTGAAAGATATTTTGTGGAGCAATTCTTTGCCAACCAATACAACTTAGATGGAACAGGCAGATTCCTTGAAAACACTACTGTCACAACGATCCCTCTGTAAGGTATAAATGTCTAATCGCTATGCTGTACACCTGAAACTAACATAATATTGTGTCAACTTCAGTTAAAATTTCCATTTTTTAAATATTACCAAGCTGACAAAGGCCCAAGGCTATAGAACAAATCTGAAACTTCCATTACAAACTGAGGGGAAAATGCCATAGTTTACACATCTGTACACTTTCTCAAGACCATTCAAGTCAGAACATTCATAAATTTACGAAGCCTCATAATTCAAAGTCAAATAGCAGAGTTCTCTTTAAGCCAGGGTCTTGGCAGAGAGACTCAAATGGAAGCTTACCTTCCAGGCTTAATATAAATACAGAAAGAGGGCTATAAAGCCAGTCAGAGGCATTGGGGGGGAGGGGGCAAATCTGGAGAAGAATCTAAGAATAGTAGCACCGTACCCCACTGCTCCAGAAAGCTTACTCCAGAAAAACACTGCCAGGGCAGATGGGTGCCAGCTATTTTACATCAGATGGCAGACCCAGGCGCCTCCGGGGGTCAGAGACCCACTAAGACAACAGGCAGTGAGACGCCAAGGGCTGACGAGCCCCTTGCAACTCCGTGGCTCCATCTGGTTCTGCAACAGCCTATGTGCTCAGCATCCCCAGATTTTCTGGATTACTCTTTGAAATCTCCCATTGTTTAACTGTTGGCTCAAGTTTAAGGGGGAAAAAACACTGTGTGAGCCAAACGAAACACAACAGCAAGCCAGATACAGCCTGCAATCTGCCAATTGGTGGCCTTGACTTTGTGTTTTGGTCTTAGGAGGTGGGGTGCAAAGAGAGCAGGCTGTGAGGTGTGTGTGTGTTTTGTTTGTCTGTTTGGTTGGTTTTTGGGGTGTTTTGTGTTTTTTTTGGCTTTTTCCTATTTTTGAAAGGTCAAGCTCTGGTTTCTTTTTCATGACCTCTGGGGTATGGGGACTTCAAAACAAAGAGAAACAGTCACCGTCGGACATTCTGGCTCTTTCTCCATCCTGCCCCAGGATCCAGCAGATAAGAAGCTAAATCCTAAGATCTGAAGAGGTTGGGTTTCTTCTCTCCCCTTCAGGCTGCTGCCAACTCACTGTCCTGCCTTTGGGTTTGAGACACGCTGGTGACTTTGTTTACTGCTGTTTCCACATGGCTGAGCTGCATGGGGTGCGGGGAGCGGGAGGGAGCACGGAGGTTTCATTTCACTGTGAGAAGATGTTATTCTGTGTCAGGAAACAAGATGAAAAGCAAAAGTGCCTCGAGATTCCTGGAAAGAAAGCAGATTCATTGCGGCCGCTGAGCCCGGGCAGCGGTGTGCGGGGCAGCGGGCAGTGGCTGCATCCCCCCACCTGCAGAGAGGGGCGAGCACTCAGAAACTCAAGGGGCTGCGAACACTGACAGAACGCAGAAGGATGCTGGCTAATGTCCTCACAGCCTCTCTCCAGTGCACTCTGATCAGCTCGGCCAAGGTCCCCGTGGACCCAGCCCCACTTCCTAAGGAGCTGTGCGGAGCACGTTAGGCCCCAATTGTCTATCTCCCTTGTGGGCCTCCATCAAGGCCACTCAAGCCACAATTTCCAGGAAGCGTGCAGCAAGTGTCTCTTCACAGTGGCTCACACAGAGAGCAGAGGGTTTCCAAGGCGTCCTGCTGCACTCTGGGACTCCCGGGCCAGCTTCCTCTCCCCCAGACCCACGGAGGGAGAAGCTGAATAGGCTCTAGGGCAGTGATGGCGAACCTATGACACGCGTGTCAGAGGTGACACGTGAACTCATTTTTTTGGTTGATTTTTCTTTGTTAAGTGGCATTTAAATCTATAAAATAAATATCAAAAATATAAGTCTTTGTTTTACCATGGTTGCAAAGATCAAAAAATTTCTATCTGTGACACGGCACCAGAGTTAAGTTAGGGTTTTTCAAAATGCTGAGAGGCCGAGCTCAAAAAGTTCGCCATCACTGCTCTAGGGCTTTAACAAACCCCAACCACGCTGACCTTGGGAGAAAGGAGAAGGGCATGGCCTCCCAGGAAAGGCCAGCAGGGAGCTGAGGGATTTCTTTCAGGGACTCGGGGACGTGGAGAAAGGAAAGAAAAAAGATCCCCGTCTACAACGCCTGCCCAATCACCTGGGAGCCAACTGTCCTCAAAATTAGGAAGCCTTTATTCCTGAGATGATGTTCCCTAGAAAAATAAGACAGACTCTTCAGAGCCACCTTAATGCTCCAGGAAAGGAAGAATTCAAAGAGCAAACAAGCAAAGACGTATTCCTACTCTTCTAAAGGTCTTGCCAAATTCTGAAAGAAGTTCTGCCAGAGATCAGTGTTTATAATGGGAAAAGTATGAAAGTCATGGCAAGTGACCATACCAACCATTTAGTGTCTGGTGAGGTTCTAAGGTGTCTGCGCCCTTGGTATCCCTGCAGCAATTCTGCGGTAGGTACTTCCACAGCTCCCAATTTGCTAATGAGGAAACTGGAGCACAGAGAGGTTGAGAGACTTGCCCACAGTCACACAGCTAGTAAGCGGCAGAGGTGAGATTTGAACCTAGACCATCCAAGTCTATATGCACTGCTGCCTCTTGCAATCTGATGCTATAAGTAGTAACAGAGACACAAAGAACATGTTCTAATTGACAAAGTATTCTCAATTTTTTATTTATTCCAAAAATATTTTTGTTTAGCACTCACCAAACACAGGTCCCAGAGGTAGAATGTTGAGCAAGTGGCACCCAGGACCTGACCTCACAGTTCTCCTCTCCAGCAGCGGACAGACCAAGTCAATGCTCCTAAAATTAAATCGTTAAGGGCAGTGGTAAGTGCCACAAACAAATAAACACAGGGTCATCACTCTTTGAAATAAATATTCTTTTCCTCCTTTTACAAATAAGGAAACTTAGATTTCAGAGTGAAATGCAATATGGCAAAAAGAACCCACAGAATTCCTAATTTTACTTATTTTTGAGCAGCTACTCAATACAGTCGTATCATTTGACATTCAAAAGCTACTGAAGGGTATATGGAAAAAGCCTCCTTTACCCCCTCAACCCCAGCCTCCCAGCTCCATTCTCCAATGCAACTGATGTTGAGTCTCCTATTGTCTGGGTCTCCTGCTGGAGACACTCCTAAGTCACCCAATACACACACACTGTCTTTCTCTACACAAGTTACAGCACAATGAACACATTGTCTGCTCCTTGGGTTTTTGTCTCTAACAAATCAATACACACTGAGCTTCCTCATTTTCTCCAGGCTGCATGGCATCTCATGGCACGGATGTATAACGCTAACTCCTGTTTTAGCCAGTCTCCTACTGATGGTCACTTAGGCGAGTTCCAAACTAGCACAGTGATGCAGGGACCCGCTAAATGGACAAGCCATTTTCCACACATGTGAGTGTGTCTGTGTGATAACCTCCTAGAAGTGGGATTACTGGGTACATGGCCTTGCGCATTTGGAATTTTGATAGATAATAACCGTGTTGTCCACCACTGGGATGTCCCCAGTTGGCACTCACCCAGCAGTGTGTGGGCGTGCCTGTTTGACCAAACCCCAAACACAGTGAAAACACAATGCTTGGAGAATCGAAGGACCCCGAGGCCCCCTCCAACCCTCATCCATTGTGGGCCAACTGCAGGCCTCTCACCCTGTGAGCCCCATGCACCTCCTGGGAAAACGGGGCTTAGTAGTGCTCCCCCCACGTGTGTTCCTGAAGCATCAGGCCCACAGCCCTTTGGGGTCGAGGTGGGAGGTACTAGAGCTCCCCAGGAGAGCAGCTCACAAGAGATGTCCCCCAGGCCAACACCACCTGCACAGAGCCGGGGCTGCTGGAGGCGAAGACCAACAGTAGTTAACATATAAATGCGAGAGGTCGTCAGAAGGCTGATGGACTTTGGTATTCAGCAAGAGCTGATGATCAGCATCATATTACCTGCTGCTGGCAAAACGGTTGAAGGCAATCCCCTAACCTGATCATCCTTTTATTGTTTACCAAACCTTACCATTGAAATGACTGTTTGCTTTGCTAACGGGCAAATGTGTATACTAGGAAATAAAAAGCTATGGGTCCAGAGATTTGGGGAGCCATTCCACTAGAGAAGGGCCTCCGCCTGGTTTCCCCGATGCCTTCCAAATTTACATTTCTTGTCTAGGGTATCCATTTGCGTGTGGCCCCTTCTCCAGACTCTGAATCCTTGCTGCAAAAGGTTGCAGCAAGGGGCCACACAGGATACCTCAAAGCAGACACCAGTAAAATGGCTCAGGTTCTGCCGCCAGACAGGCCATGCGCAAGCTGTGTGACCTTGGGCAAGCTGCTTACCCTCTCCCAGGGAACGCCGAGAAGTCCAGTTCTTAAAGCATCACTGCTCCCGCTCCCAGACTGCATCCTGGTGGGCAGATGGAATGTGCAAGATCCATAGTGTTGCGTTCCTGCTCATTTCTGCAAGAAATTTAAAAAACACCAATGCCACAGCCAGGGGATGGTGGCACTAGAGACAAATTAAGGAAGATACTAGTACAGAATCTCAGTTGAGAGCTGGTGGCTGGAAATGCGTTGAGTCTGTAAGACAAACTTTAACACCGAGGCAGAATATAAGACAGGAGTGAGAGGGAAAGAATAATGCGAATGATGTGGGGGCTACTATCCATGGCCAGGGGTCCTCAAACTATGGCCCGCGGGCCACATGCGGCCTGCCAAAAACATTTCTTTTTTTTACTTCAAAATAAGATATGTGCAGTGTGCATAGGAATTTGTTCATAGTTTTTTTTAAAACTATAGTCCAGCCCTCCAACGGTCTGAGGGACAGTGAACTGGCCCCCTGTTTAAAAAGTTTGAGGACCCCTGATCCATGCCTTGCCCATACCTGTGGCCCGCGCTCTGGCTAACGGCCAACCGCCAGTGTCATCTGTACCCGAGGGCTCTCTTAAAGCTGCAGAAGATCTGCAGGCAGTGGAGGAATCAGCGCCCACCAGCTCTCAACCAACCAGCGCCCTCACCCTTCAGGTGGGATCATTCTCTATCCCAGCCCACATCTCCCACAAGATGGAGCCCCAGCTGCCCAGGGTGGGAGCTGGCTTTGCAACACTGCTTCCTGGCTGCCTGCCTGCCCGTGTCTCGTTTCCCCCAGCCCTTTACTGGGTCTCAGGATTTGCTTCTGGGGTAACCTGTGTGTGCCAGGCACCGAGCTAGAGGCTTCACACACACGGTGCAGATCTGGCATAGCATCTATCAAGTAAGGCCTGCCCACGCACACAGGGAATGGCCACGCCTGTTTCAGCACCAAGGCCCACGATGACCAAGGGAGAGTGAGCCAACTCTGAGGCCAAGCCAGGTGAACAGAGTGGGACTGAGCAGGTCTTTTTCAGGTCACGCTTTCTCCGACACAGAAACAAGGCCAACGGAGGGAGAATCAGGTTTCCAAGCCTCAAGTACAGGCCCATTGTGAGGGGCTATGTGCCCTTAAGAGGACACAGTCCCTGGAGAAATCGTGTGCCCGTAGTAGATGGGGTTTAGTCAGCTCCCCTTTTTTTTTATTTTAATTTTATTTTTTTAAGTGTCCTTTTTTTTATTTTGTTGATTTTTTACAGAGAGGAAGGGAGAGAGATAGAGAGTTAGAAACATCGATCAGCTGCCTCCTGCACACCTCCTATTGGGGATGTGCCCACAACCAAGGTATATGCCCTTGACCAGAATCGAACCCGGGACCTTTCAGTCTGCAGGTCAACGCTCCATCCACTGAGCCAAACCAGTTAAGGCCTTTTTTTATTTTCATCTTTATTGTTGAAAGTATTACATATGTCCCCCTTTTCCCCTCATTGACCTCTTCTAAGCCCGCCCTTCTCCCCACCCTAGGCCTTTAGTCTGCTCCACTTTTGCAAATCTACCAGAGTTGGCCTGAATTCACCACCACAGGTTTGAGAGTCCTCTTCACCTCTCTCAGGAAAGGCAGAAGTGAGCCCTTGGTGAGTGTGGGAGCTGGATCTGTAGCGTTGAGAGCACAAAGGCACGGAAAATCGCTGCCTAAGCCACGAGCTCCGATTGCTGCTGTCCTTCTGGGCAGGAGGAAACCAGGCCATGTGCTGTGGCTTCTTGCAACACAAGCCCCATTCCTTAATGAGGCTGATTTAATTTAGGGCAGTGGGAAGCTTCTGGGTTATTAGGCCGAAAATGAAGGCTTGTATTTCATTTAACTGCCCCACTTAACGGAAGACACTTTGCTTTTGTAAATTAAGGAATGATTTCTAAGTGTTAGAGGCCGCTGGGTGACCTTGAGGAAAGCCTCAAACGTGCTGAGGTTTGGGTGCCCACTCTGTAAACCTAACAGATTTGGGCTAACAACCCCAAAGCCTTTATCTGGCTTAGCAATCTACAGTTTTGTTCACCTCACTCCCTTCCTTCCACAGGGGTTCCTTCAAAACCCATCTCCCAGATGTATTAAGTGGAAAAGCAAGCTATAAAACAATGTCCTATATAATAAAGAACTAATATGCTAATTAGACCGAACAGCCGAAAGCGTCCGGATGACATTCCGGACGACCTTCCGGACGAAGCTGGGGCTGCGAGGGCCGAGCCCCTGGCATGAATTTTGTGCATCAGGCCTCTAGTTATAAAATATTATCTTGTTTTAAAAACAAGGTGGGCATAAGAATGTGTCTCTGAATTTTATATGCACGAGAGACTGTGGAAGTGGGTATATTAAGTTCTTAGCCGTGGGAGGAGGGGACAGGTACTGGTAGGTGGGGTAACTTTTTGTTGCGTATTTACCCATACAGTGACTGTGTTATCTACTCCAATAATTAAACCAAAAGAAAATGAAACAAATCCACATCTTAGTTGTATCTTTCTCTCTAACCTTCAGGGTGTTCAGGTACTGTTGGGGACCACACATGTGCCTACTGGGAATCCCCCCCAAGTTCCCCATAGAGCAGTGGTTCTCAACCTTCTGGCCCTTTAAGTACAGTTCCTCATGTTGTGTCCCAACCATAAAATTATTTTCGTGGCTACTTCATCACTGTCATGTTGCTACTGTGATGAATCGTCATGTAAATGTCTGATAGGCAGGATGGTCTTAGGCGACCCCCTGTGAAAGGGTCGTTCGACCGCCAAAGGGGTCGCGACCCACAGGTTGAGAACCGCTGCTATAGATGATCTCATCTACAAACAAGGAAGTTCAAAAAAGACAGCACAGTCTTCCCCGTGCATCCAAGAGAAAACAATCACCTCTACCAGCTCCGTGGGCTAAGGCGCGGTGCCTGCATCATCCAAGGTCTCTGGCTGAGTTAACACCAATCATCACTTCGGGAGGAAGCTTGTGGGCACCGCGGAGAGGCAGCCCGGCATCCTGAAGGCTTTACAACTCATGCTCGTAAAACGTGATAGGAAAATTCATCTCGGAGGTTTACGGCCCACAAAATCCTCGATGTCTCTTTTATGGCTGCTTTTAAAGTTCTCTGCTGAGCGGTGAGTGGCTGACCTGTGCAAAAGCGGGGCTGAGCGTCTTCCTGAATGGAGAGAAGAGGGGACGCTGCCTCCCCAGAAGGGGTCTCCCAGGCCCCACTCCTCAGTCCCTCCGAATGGTTGAGGGACCTTCTGCTGCAGCTCTCATCCCCCGTGAAGAATTTCTTAGCAGCATCACTTCTGGCAGCTCGTGGTGCCATGTGAGACAGCATTCTCAGCCCTGGTAGCTGCCCTTCCTTCTGGGCCAGCCTGGCCCTTCCTCTCTGCGCTCCTGCCCCATCAGCCGGCCTTCCCCAGCTCAAGCCTCCTCGGTGAGCCGGCCTGTTTCCGCTGCTCTCGGAATGCCCTGCGCAGATACAATCTCTTCCTTGAGGGACTGTTCCTGCACAGTAAACACATCTCGTGGCAAAGATCCAAAAGCAATCATCCTGCAACATTACCACCGGATCCTTGAAAGGAAAACGCCCATGTTCTGCCCTGACCTCTCTCTCCTCCCAAACTTCCTGGCTTCTCGGTGAACCTATAGCACTACAGCAAAATACTTCTTGCTCTTCCAAATTGCAAAGGATGAACGCATTTATTTGTTTAGTTATTTTTATTGTATTTGTTGTTGACAGTATTACAGATGCCCCTTATGCCCGCCTCCGTCCAGCCCCAAGGATGAGCACATTTAATGAAGTTCAAGATGACCCACTTCCTCCAAGCATTGCTCCATGTTTTCAGGAACAATGACAGGACACTTTGCCTCGTTAGGAAGCCCACTGGCTTCGACGTTTCAAAGAGGGGCTGAGCCCTGGCTGGGTAGCTCAGCTGGTTGGAGCACTGTCCTGATGCACCAAGGTTGCGGGTTTGACCCTGGTCAGGAGACATACAAGAATCAACCAATGAGTGCATAAGTGAGTGGAACAACAAGTCAATCTCTCTCCCTCTCTCTCTCTCTCTAAAAATCAATAAATAAAAGCCTTTTAAAAAATAAAAATTAAGAAGAAGCTGAGCTGGGCAGGTGGGACAGTCTGGGTGTCATCCATGTGTCCTGATTAGGGTCCCTAATGGGCAGGAACCCTGGCATGGCTGTCAGCCTCTGGGAGAATGAATGTGGGCCAAGAGCCTTGAATGGCTCCCAAGGACCCAGGGTGATGCTGGTGACACTGGTCTGTTGCGACTGACACTTGGGGAACTGACCGGCCTAGTGAACCCCTGTGACAGTCTTAGACTCCAGCCCTGAGAAGGATCCTAGAAACCACTTTGGGAAGGGCTCAAAGTGGGCTGCTCTTTACTCAAGATGTGGGGACAGGATGTCTGCCATGTGGGTAGAAGAGGGTGTTGAGGAAGGGGACTGAATCCCTCTGTGGCCACATCAACTTAAGAGCCTCCCTGGTTAACTGCTCTAAGCATTGGGCTTCTCTTTACGTGGCTACTGGTGTTGAGCACACGCCGGACCCCTAGCCCCTAACCACCAGGCCATGCAGCACAAGCTGTCAACAGAATCCTCTACGGCTTAAAAAATAAGTAAAAACCAATTGCTCAAGGAAACATAGATCAAAACCACAGTAAGGGACCACGCAGCTATTTTTTAAAAAGAAAACAAAGTGCTGCGACGATGTGGAGAAAGTGGGACCCCCCTGCACGGCTTCAGAGAAGGTAAAAGGCCACTCAGATCTTTCTCCTGCCTAGAAGCAAATCCATCTCCACTTTGGCTCTCTGGCGCCATCTCGTGTTATTTTTCAAGCAGCCACAAGTGTTTTGGGGAGGGGGGGGATGTTGATTTTTGCCTCTGATAACATTTTTTTAAGAACTTTTTTTTTTTAAGAGAGAGAGGGGAAAGGAGACAGAGAGAGCGTGTTCGAGAGAGACATCAACTTCCTGTTCCACTGATTCATGCATTAATTGGTCGATTCTTGCATGTGCCCTGACCAGGTATCGAACCCGCAACCCTGGTGCTTTGGGAATGGCACTCCAACCAACTGAGCTACTCGGCCAGTGCCTGATAACATTATTTTTTAAAGGACAAAACAGTTTTCAAAGTTTTATTGTAGAAGAATTTCTACGAAACTCTATACTGATATATTAATATATTGATAATAATATTTTTGAAAAGCAACCTAACCCATTGTTCTGGCAGCAAGCGCCCTAGGCTTTTTCCTGAATACATTCATAAATATTGCAAAAATAACCCTAAGTGTAGAAGTTGGTTTTACTCACCTTGCCTTTAGCGTTGCCTTTGACAGCATAACTATCTGTGAGATAAATAAAGAAAAATGCTTCTTGTGTTTAAAGTTTTATCAGACCTAGAAGAGGAGCAGTGGAAGTAAAACACATTATAAACCAGTCCTTACCGGCTGTCTTAGCACACAGCAAGTGGGCGCCACATAAACCGCTGCAAGTAGAATTGTCTTGTTAATATGAATGCAAATGTAGTCCAGCGACAGCCCATGTTGCTAACGACTGAATCTGTGCCTATGGATCTACTACTGGTCTATGGAGTGGGTTATGCTGCTGAAGCCCAAACTGCTATCTCAAAGGGGAAGAAGAAGGAATACAGTACACGTAACTGTGAAGAGCAATCTATCCTTTGGTTAATCTAGTGAATCTAGTATCAGGATTTTAAGCACCAGCACCTCAGAAGTTTTCATCAAACCTTTCTTTCTTTCTTTCTTTCTTTTTTATCCAAACCTTTCTTGTTCGTGTGGTCACAAATCTTTCTTCACTCCACACAAAAATAAATAGAAGGTGCTTCTGGGAAATTATAGCTCAGGTTATGCATGTATTGAAAGGGCTCTACTCACAGGAGGCCTTGAGCTGCAGGGAGACTTGCAGGACTCACAGACGAACTGTTCTAGAAACCCAGTCCCTTTTCCACTGACCGAGTCCACACAGAGCCTGCGTGAGTACAAACAAAACAGAAATAACAGGACCCTGGGGAAGGCAAGGAGACCGGGGCCTTTCACATCTGCAGCCGATCTCTAGCCAAAGGATTAATTTATAAAAGCCAGTCCCTACAACCTGAAGTAGAGAAAGTTGCAGAAGGAAAACATAACACTTCCCTAATGAGAAGCAAAGCAGGTGGAGGCCTCATTTAAAAACATTTTTTTTCTTTTCTTTGAATACGTATCGCATTTCCCCAAAATACATGTGGTGTCGTTTCTGAAGTAAAGGTCAGATAGCCCAGAGTTGAAAGCCTGCCCATGTCACTGCTTGTGTAGTCTGTGCAGCTTCAGCAGCAGCTGGGATCCTCACTGAGGTTACTAATACCTACCTCTGGGGATTGAAATGAGGACACGTGATGCACCCCAGGATAGAGCCTGGCCCAATCAGGTGGTCAGTAAATGGCGGGTGCCATCTTCATGACAATGATGACAATGACAATCCTACTGTTACACTCCTCCTAAACCACTATCCTCCCAGACACAAATCTGCCCCCTCTTCTAACTGGCAGTCACATTCACCAATAGCAACAGCTAACATCCATGAGCACTTACTATGTGCCGAGTATGTACATTAAATTATCTTACTTAAGTCACTTTACACTGTGAATTAAGTAAGGTAATTTCCTTACCTTTACAGGTAAGGAAACAGGCTCAGAGACATTGGGGAATGTACTAGTCAGGGGAAGTTAACTGCTATCACAAACAACACTAAAACCTCAGTGACTCAACATGGTAAAGACCTACCTGTCTTCCATGTCCTGTTGTCAGAGGGCATGAGAGAAAGGACTCAGTCCAGCAATCGTTCAGGGACCCAGGCTCCTTTCACAGGGATCGCCTAAGACCATCGGAAAACACATATATAATTACATATTGTTTTGTGATCAATCACTATGCTTTAATTATGTTCAATTTGTAACAATGAAATTGGGGGTCACCACAACAGGAGGAACTGTATTAAAGGGTCGCGGCATTAGGAAGGTTGAGAACCACTGGGTTAGGGGGCGCATTGGATGTGAACTTGAAGATCGGTCATCTGGTCATAAATTCACAAATGGGGAAGTGACCGAAGAGATCGGGAGACCAGCTTCCCCTTACAGGCAAGATGACCATGGCCTGCACAGGTCTGACGCGCTGGCGATGGAATGGAAGTGCATCGAGCCATGTCATCCAAGAGTTCTCAACACACCGCTGAGTGTCTACATGTCTCTCCCTACATCACTGAAGGATTCGAGAGGACACTACCAGCCACAGCACAGAACAGGAGAATTCCTTTCAAGGATGCCTCCTCCAGGGGCTCCCTGCAGTGGAACCAAAGGCCCACTGACGAGCAATAAACTCAGTATTGCAAATGCGTTCCCAAGCCTGGCTGTTTGACTATGAGTGCATGAAACCCAGAGTGTACAGAATAAACATGGTTCCCTATTGTATATTTTTTAATGAAAACATATAGGTAATGAATTCAATTTCACGATAGGTTAGTTATTTGGGGTTAAGCCCAAGTATTGATAGGTTTTATATGAGGAGGTACTGCCCCAATCCTAAGATGGGATGGCAAAAATGAACAATCACTTTCTTAGGTTTCACATTCTTACTCTCTAGTAAATATAGCTTGTGAATCTTTATTTTTGAAGCTCTAAAATAACTATATTATCAAGGAAGAGGTTAGCAGTGTCCCAAATTGAAGAAAATATGTAACAGTGTGGCTTCTGTGGCTGAAGGTGATAAGGCCAGAGACCAGCCTATTCAATGTCCTCCTCCTTCCTTTCAGATTTCCTGGGATTCTCAGGGGACTCAAGGCTCCGATGCCATGTGCGAAATTAACCTACAGTTCCAAGATCCAACACTAGAGGGCCCAAGACTGAGCCTTGGCTGAATGCTAGATTCATTTTTCCTTTTGTGCCCAGCATGACAAAGGTCCCTGTTGCAAACGACTTTTTTAACGAGCCCATTTTCAGATCAAATGTTTAACTCTTTTGAAAATGTAGGCCTCCATTGAAGCAAAAGCTGCAATGTGTCCTGGAAAATTACACAATTTAGGAACACCATACTTCAGTCAGGTCAGGCTTTTGCAAACCTCACACCAGAAAACAGCTAAAGAGTCGATAAGAAGGCCATACATTTGGGCCTTAATGAGACACGAAAGCAGAAGTATGCTTACAAAGCAATAAGAAACATAATAAAATAATTATATTACATCTTTAAACATAATGAAACCATCTCATTAAGCCTAAATTAATTTAAAGGTCAACAATGCATAATTTACATAGGCTCATAAAACTGCATTATGTAAATGATAATTAAATCAATTCCCCTTCTCTCTCTCTTTTTTTTTTAACTCTACCTATTAACTCTATAAACACTAGAACACTGGTGTATCTTATGGCATAGTAACAAGTTGAAAAGATACCATGTTCTCCTGAGGCTGTATCTCTGATAAAAATAACCCAAACCCCACAGACACCTAATTCGCCAACATTTTATCAAACCCCACAGTGCTGTGTCCCAGGAAATCAGCCCTGCAAGGGAGGAACGATGGAAAAGACTCTACAGGAGGGACAAGAAAGAGCCCAAGAGAAATACGCCAGTTTCTGAGTTTGGCTGGGAACTGCCCTGGACATATATTTTCAGTACTAGGGAGCTGAGCCATATGAGTCCTGGGGAGAAAGAGACCCTGATTCATTAAGCATCATCTATATTTGTTGAATATAGATGTGAACAAAACACATAAAAACGCCTGTCTTCACCCCAGCCGGTTTGGCTCAGTGGATAGAGCGTCGGCCTGCGGACTGAAGGGTCCCAGGTTCGATTCCGGTCAGGGCATGTACCTGGGTTGCGGGCACATCCCCAGTGGGGGATGTGCTGGAGGCGGCTGATCGATGTTTCTCATTGATGTTTCTGACTATCTCTCTCCCTTCCTCTCTGTAAAAAATCAATAAAATATATATTTTAAAAAAGACTATTTAAAAAAAAAAAACGAAAAAAAAGGGCACATGCCTGGGTTGTGGGCTCAGTCCCCAAGAGGGGGCTTGCAGGAAGCAGCCAGTCAATGATTCTCTCTCATCACTGATGTTTCTCTCTCTCCCTGCCTCTCTGAAATTAAAAAATATATTTTTAAAAAATGCCTGTCTTCATGAAACTTACTTCCCTTACTTCTGATTACATAAAATAAACATTGTTTCCTATTGTATATTTTTTAATAAAAATATATAGACATTCAATTCAATTTCACCGTAATTTAGTTATTTCGGACTAGCCCAAGTATTGATATGTTTTATATGAGGAAATAGTGCCCAAATCCTAAAACCTGATGGCGTAAATGAACAGTCACTTTCTTAGGTTTCATATGCCTACTCTCTAGTGCGAGGGAAGACAGTCAATTAACAATTTGGTGGTGAGCAGGAAGGAGATCAAGTCCATCCGCAGAGATGGAAAAAGACTGGAAGAGGAGGGAGGGGTGTATTAGTAAGAATTTATAATTTTAAATAGGCTGGGGAAGCTTACTCCAGGCAGAGAGAATAGAAAGGTGAAAGGCCCTGAGACAAATGCAAATAATAGGAACAGGATCAGTGTGACGAGAACACAGTGATTAAAATGGAACATAGCCATAACCAGTTTGGCTCAGTGGATAGAGCATCGGCCTGCGGACTGAAAGGGCCCGGGTTCGATTCCAGTCAAGGGCATGTACCGTGGTTCCAGGCACATCCCCAGTAGGAGGTGTGCAGGAGGCAGCTGATTGACGTTTCTCTCTCATCGATTTTTCTAACTCTCTATCTCTCGCCCTTCCTCTCTGTAAAAAATTAATAAAATATATTTTTAAAAAATAAAATGGAACATAACTAGAAACCAAGTCAGAGGGAAAAGGTAGAATAGGGGTGGGCACACTGGTGGACAACAGAGCGGACTGCAAGGATCTAGTTTTCATTCTGAGGGAGATGGGTTGGCAGTGGCTTGTAAGGAAATAGCATCATCAGACTTAATATTCTAATAGGCTTGCTCCAGCTAAGAAAAAACACCAACAACCCAATTGAAAAATAGGCAAAGCGTATAAATAGCTAGCTCACTACAATTAAATACGTACAAGAAAAATGCAGTTTGAACCCCACTGAGATGCCATTTCTCACCTACCAGATTGGCAAAAACCCAAAAGCTTGATAAAACACTCTTTGTTGGTTTGTGGGAAAATGGCCTCACATACTTGCTGGGGGCATGGGAATCAATAGGAGATCTTTGAATGGCAATTTCAAATGACAAGTCCACATGCCCAGCAATTCTACATCTACAAACTGTCCCACCGATAACTCACACGTGCAAAATGGCACTAATGTAAGGCTAGTCGACGCCACAGTTGTGACAGCAAAGTCCTGAAGACAGCTCTAAAGGCCGTCAATACGGAATGGCTGAACACAATGGCACATCCGTAAAATGGAATGCCTTGCACTTTAAAAAGACTGAGGAAGTGTTTTATGGGTTGACATAAGATAATTTCAAGATATATTAAGGAAAAGTGAAGGATGCATAACAATGTGTATGATGTATTTTTGTGTGCACATCATATATTCTTTTGTGTAAAAACAAATTAAAGGAGTCCTGGACAGTGTGGCTAAATGGTTAGAGTGTCAGCTTGTGGACTGAAGAGTGTCTGGTTTGGTTCCCGATCAAGGGCATGTACCTGGGTTGCAGGTTCATTCCTTGGCCCCAATCAGGGGGGAGAGAGAGATGGGGGGGGATGGGGGAGAGGGAGAGAGAGAGAGAGAATAAGTGGGGGCAAGGATAGGAAGGAGAACTTCCTCATAGAGCTTTTGCATTTTTCAGGCTTGAACCTTATATTTCTATTACTTATTTTTAAATTTTAACAAATAATTTTTTTTTAAAGAAAGGCCTTTTAGAGGAAGGGTTACTTTAGGACTCTCGGGCTCCCAGGTGACAACTGTAATGAGATGTAGACTCTTCATGAACCCATCGGGGCTAAAAAAAAAAAAAAAAAGGAATGTCAGAGATTCCCATGGGCGCCAGGAGATTGTTTCATTCAGACCCACTCATACAGGTCCCACTGCCTCTCCCCATTATGCTCCAGAGGCTCATTCAGAGCGAAGACTCAAGCGCCACCGACATCTGGTAACATAGGTAACCGTGGGCAACCGGGCTTCTCACATGGTTGTCATAGCAACCGTGATGTTCCTACAGTTGGGTTTTCATCCTGAAGTAATTATCAGGCCTTGGGGTGGGCTCCTCCGCATTTGCAGTTACTTACATCGGTGACAATTATGAATGAGCCTAAATTAGATGCAATTTCAACTGAACTGTTAAAGAGGCTGTGAACTGAGTCAGATTTACATATCCTTCCATCAAGACTGGCAAATCTTTTGAGCTGTATGCCTGGTGCAATTCCGGGACGGGGTGACACCTGCACTGCAGCCATCAAAAGCCCCTGGACGGCCAACAACCTGCCATGTTTCACCCCACGATGGGCAGTCCCTTCTCCACCCACCCTACATCCCGTTCCCACTACAAGTCGTAGAGGCAGACCGCAAAGGCTCTTGGTTTCAACCAGGAGGTCCTTGGATAAGGTCGTTTCATTCAGCATCATTTCGTGGTATCATTGATGAGATGCTGTAAGAACTTAACTCTTGTTTATAGCAATTAGCCTGTGGGAATATTGATTTCACTATTGTACATTATTTTTCTTGAAGCCACAGAAGCTATAGACAATGTTAAGTAAGGACTTACATATATATAGCAAAACTTTCTCTTTTATCAACCCTTATAAAACCCACAGTCCTGCCTTAACCAGTTTGGCTCAGTGGATAGAGCATCGGCCTGCAGACTCAAGG